TTTGGGCGCCCCCTCCATCCCTAAGTCTTTTCCACTTTCACGGTACAAGTGACTGTTTGTGTCTTTCTGAGACTAGTTCACCTTACTTAATATGATCCTTTCCGGCTCCAGCAATTATTTCTGTAAATTTCATAGCTTCATTTTTCTTAACAACTAAATAAAATTCTCTTGGGCATATATGTCATGCTTTGCTTATCCAGTCAACAGTCGAGGGACAGCTAGGCTGGCTCCACCCCCTGCTGTTATGAACAGGAGAGCAGCAAGCATGGGTGTGTGGGCATCCCTATGGTGGGATGCAATCTCATTGGGTAGATTCAGTAGTAATATAGCAGAGGCACATGGTAGTTATTTTTTTCCACTTTGAAAGACTTCCAGTCTAATTTCCATAGAAGTTAATAGTTAATACCCTACCAACAGTGAATAAAAGTTCCTCTTACTCCCCAGCCTCTCCAGGGAGATTTGTCAGTTTTCTTGATCACAGCTTGGGGTGAGATGGACTCTCAAAGTGGTTTTGAATTTTCCTGACACAAATGGCAAAACATTTTCTGCAACCACGCGAGGCAGTAGAAGTGTTCGTCTTTAATCCCAGCACTTGGGAGGCAGAGAGAGGCAGGAGGATCTGTGTGGGTTTGAAGCCAGCCTGGTCTACAGAGCAAGTTCCAGGAGAGCCAGAGCTATACAGAGAAACCCTGTCTCAAAAACAAACAAACAAAACAAAATAAAAAAACCCACCAAAGTTCAACATCCTTTATCCATTTAAGATGACTTTTTAAAATTAATTTATTTTTATTTTATATGCATTGGTGTTTTGCTGGAATGTATGTCTGTGTGAAGGTGTTGGATCCTGGAGTTACAGACAGTTGTGAGCTGCCATGTGGGTGTTGTGAATTGAACCCGGGTCCTCTGGAAGAGCATCCCATGTTCTTAACTGCTGAGCCATCTCTCCAACCCCTTTCTTAATCACAAAACTAGAATTACAGAATAGATTTTGGAACATGATTTTTCTAGGCCATATGTATACTATTGACACATCCATTTTTATTTATTTATTTAATTTTTTATTAGTTCAAGTTGGGAACAAGCTTGTTTCACATGTAAATCCCTTCTCCCTCTCCCTCCCCTCCCCTCCATCCCTCCTCCCCCACCCCCGACCTACTCCCCACCCCATCCACCCTCCACTCCCCAGGCAGGGTAGTGCCCTCAACAGGGGCTCTGCAAAGTCCACCAAATCTTCCTGGGCTGGGCCTGGGCCCTTCCCCATGTGTTCAGGGCCAGAGTGTATCCCTTCACGGACACATCCATTTTTAATCCCTTACTATAAACATTTCAAAACACAGAAACGTTGGAAGATTTAAATGGTATTAACACCCATTTCTACACTTAATATTTTGGCTGTTGTCTTAGTTAGGGTTTCTATTTCTGTGAAGAGACACCAAGACGATGGCACTTTGTTCTTGAGAATAAGTGTTCCATACAGACTTATTGAATGGTTGAGTGAAGAGTGTGATTACCTTATACCGTATGCAGTGATTCTCAGGTGTTTCCCAGTTCTGGAAATAAACCACTCTAATACTGCTATACTCTATGTGTCGAACCCCTCCCCTTGCTCTCTGCTGTGTGTCTTCTATTGCTCCTCATCTCATTTTGAAAGGGTCTTTCTCTGAATCTAAAGTGCACTGTCTTGGCCAGACTGGCTTCCCAGCAGATCCTTGAGATCTCCTTGGCTCTTCGGTGGTCATCAGGGATTCAAACTCTGGCCTTCAAGCCTGCAGCAGGTCGGCACTTTGCCCACGGAATTATCTTACCCAACCAATTTATTTTACCTCTTCTAGAAGAAGTATGAATTGAAATTACATAAACAATGGCTCCACAAGGATACCTGTAATGAAACAATACTTAGAAATCTTCTTCAGCACTTGTAAATATTGAACTTACCTTTCTGGAATCAATAATCTTCCAGACACCTGAACACTTGACTTGTTGACCCGGAATATTGTTTACTAAGCAAAGACCAATTTCTTCCCTCCCCAGGAGGAGGAAACAAGTAAAATAATGTTGAACAGCAAGACTCCAAAAACTAGTGAAGACATGGTTCCTAGGTCAAAGGCTGTTGTAAGAACTACGCTTCTCCGGTAGATGGCACCATTTTCTTTCTAAAGGTGTTTGCCACTCCAGCCCCTCTCCCCCAGCCCCCCACACCCGCCCCACCTCACTATCCACGTTTTACGTAGAAGCTGACAATAATTACGTTATTGGTGTATCCTTGGTTTTCGTTTCTTTTCTTTTTTCTTTTTAAATCACTGCGGGGAAGTCTAAAGCCCAAATGAAGACCATTTTTGCTTTGGCTGAGTTAGCACCGCGTGATCCCATTTCCTAACAGAAGTACTACCAAGGAGTAGTTGGCATGCCGGATTTAAAAAAAAAAAGCAAAAAACACAAACAAAACTCTATAAAGCTTTTCTGCTTCTACGATAATAAAACAAATCATAAGTCAAACACTGACTCAGGGATTAATGTTTCCTAAATAGAGCAAACTACTCATCAAATTGTTCAGATACCTCCCTTGGGTGGTTAATAATGAACTTTTAAAAATTCACTGACTCAGTTGTGGTGGAAACACTGGCAAAACATTATGCCACCCCACGAGCCCTTTCAATACCCTAACAGATGTTAGGTGTTGTCACTCTGACAGGACCTACACACGACAGAAACGACATCCGAGGAGGGGACTAATGAAGGATTGGAATCATGATGCTAGTGCCGGAGCTGAAAGATAGAGAAATAAACTCTTGGATATACCTTCAAAAACTGTGCTAGCCCGAGCAGGGCAGGTAGACTATGGGTCCCACGTGTTCTTTCCCAGTTCTGTTTTATAAACGTGTGCCTCAAGTCGCTGGGAAACAAGTTCCCAGGGCTTGGCGTTTACTCTGAAAACCCGCTGGATTTTGGCCGAGCCCTTTGTGAACACTCAACGTGAGGAGGTACAGAGAGGTTTAGGTTTTAGGGTGTTTTAAACCAACCCTGTATGAAGGAGACTGCCCCAGGCACTGTGTAGTAGGTGACTCTCAGTGCAGCATCCTAGAACTTCCAGGGATAATGACAGCCCAGACTCTGGCCCCGCCCGCTGCAGGCGCAGGTGAAGGCTGTACACCTCCCCCATCAACGCCGCGGCGCTGACAGGTGGTCTTGCCCCGCCTCCCTGTCGCCCAGGACGTCTAGGGCCACAGCTCCAGGCCATGAGCCACAGCCACGCGCCAGGCATAGCTTGAGATGAGGCTCCTGAAGTGGGCCTTCTCCCCGAGAGCGAGGCCGGGAGATCGCGAAGCAAAGGACATCTAGCGCCCGACTTTGGCCGAGGGGTGGTCGACCAGACACAGCTCGATTCTCCTGGACAGCGGTCGCGTGGAGCCCCGCGGCTAGGCACGTCCAGCCCCGCGCTGTGTTCTTCGTCGGTCTCTGCCACTTTACGCGTCCCAGACCCCAGGAACCGGTCCAAGCCCCCAGCGACAGTGACTCCGGGTGTCCATGGTCCACACCGGTCAGCCACCCACGGGTCCCAGCAGGGCTAAAGGGTCACTGGACCTGGCGATCCACATTCCCAAGGGCGAGCAGCGGGTGGCAGCACCGTCCCAGCTCCAGGTCCGTCCGGGTCCCCTCCTGCCCCAGCTCTGGCGCCTCCCGTGCCCCGGCCGCTGTAGAACACGCGGGTGGCAGCGAGGAGGAATTCGCCCGGACCCCTCCCCTTCTCCAAACTTCTGTGCTTCACTTTGCAGATCCTCCA